GATGGGAAAGGGGCTGAAACTCTTGCCCTTCTCATGGGAAGCTTGGGTGGTAAGTTCGCGTGCACTGATGTCAGAGAACGTTCATGTCATCTGGTTGTTGGTTTGTTCTTTCTTTCACCGAATATGGTTCCAGGGACTCTGCCAGCACTGGGGATGCTGTGGTCCTTGCCCTCAATGAGATTGGGGTACATATGGGGTGCAGTAACAAATCACCTTACTAAGCTTTATTGTAGGTAGAGTGTATGGGAAAGAAAACAAGGTGACGATGAATGACTTAGTTGGCCTCCTTCAGTTTAATGATGGAAACTGAGGCACGTGGGGGTCTATAAGTGCTGTGTGGTCCTGGGCTACTCAGGTAGAGACAGAGTCCTAATGCCTAATCCAGCCCTTTTCTGAATGTCTCCTAGACTGTTGAGACATTGGCTAAAAGAATCTGTATGGGTTTTTTGTGACCCTCATGTTCAGTGGCGTTTCATTAATCATGAGGTTAGTTAAAGCTCACCCTTTTATTTAAGAGCTCTTAAATCACCTATAAGTGGGTGAGATGCTTACATTATGAGAGACCCACAGGAATTAAGTTGAAGGGAGAAGCAGATTCCTGTGCCCTGTGTCACACCCCTTGTGAGTATGTCCCTTGCATGGAGTTGGTGTCAGAAGCACCTATGTTGGACTGTCTTGGCCCCTTCTTCCCCCAGACTTTTATATCCGAATGTGTATTGGACAAATACACATATGTCATTTCACTGTAATCATGTCACCTCTCTTCAGGTGTCAGTGGGTAATTGTGAAAGAGTGATCCATTTAGGGAGTCAACCTGTTAGGGCAGTTAGGAATGCTTGGGTCACTGGTAACATTTCTTTCTGGAATTTATTACAGTGTAGCAAAGGAGGATTTTAGGGAAAAAAATGAGCCTTTGGAAAGGTGTTAATGATGGAAATGGAGGCACCCAGGGACTAATGGTACACAGTATATCTCGCTGAATCTCTGCGGCAGTCCTGTGAGGGGAGAGTCCCTCTACCCCTTAGTGACTTTCCTGTGTTGGAATCGAATTGAATTTATCTCCCTCTATAAGTTAAAACCTGAGCTTCTGCGAGATTCCCTAATTTAGCCTGGGTGTCAAGGCTAGTGAGTGAGCTAGGTTTGGAAGCCAAGTCAAGTTGAGTCTTGACACCACATGCTATGTCCACTGGCCCCAATACTCTGTTTCTTCTTCATCCACTGCATCAAGTGTAAGTTGACTCCCTTGCTCAAAGGATATATGAGGAGGTACGGACCTTAGCTCTGCAGGCACGAATGTTCTGTGCCCGCCTCGTTCAGTTAGCCCTTATTATTGGTAACAAGCAGGTGCTTGTTGCTCTCTACGTTCTGAAGCCTGGTAGATTGGTTGGTAGATTACCCATTATACATGTGTTTAGGATATTCCTAATGTGTGGCTGATACTCTGAGAGTCACTGGGTACATGTTTCCAGGATGAGGTGGATTTTGAACTGGGCTGAAAGGGACCAGAGGGATAGAATGAACCAGAATGGTTATTTTGGTATCCAGTATGGGGAGCATTTCTCAGCCAGCCCCAGTCTTGTGATCGGAAACTCTCTGCCCATACAGAGCCTCATCTTACAATTGGGTTGTAAAACCGAGGGCCTGTGTGACTCTGAGGATTATGTGTGTGGCAGCGTCTGGGGCTCTGTGCTGGCCCTTGTCCAGAGTTGGTAATTTCATCCTGCTGGGCTCCAGCTGACCAGCCTGCAAGAGCTTGGACGCAGAGTTCTCCTCTTTGCAGGAAATGAATAAAAACATGAGCATGTTTAGAACAGTGCCTATACTTAACTGAGATGGATGGATCCATCGGCGCCTGGGTGGCTCAGTCGGTTGGGTGTCTGCCTTCAGATCAGGTCATGATTTCAGAGTCTCGGGATCAAGCCTTGCATCGGCCTCCCAGCTTAGCAGAGATCCTTCTTCTCCCTCTGCCCCTCACCCTGCTTGTGCTCTCTCTCTCTCTCTCTCTCACACACACACATACACACACTCACCCTCTCTCAAATAAATAAAATCTTTAAAAAAATAAAAAGGATGAATCAGTTAATGCTCACTACTACTGCATTCCCTAACCAAGGACTAGTGATTTTTTTCTGTACAGTAACTCGAAAGGGTTGTTCGCAGGACTCTGTCTGTCTTTAAGGCACTGCACCCCTTGTGAAAGTTCAGCTAGCTGGACATTTTTCCGTATGTTGAGTCAGAATCTTTTCTGGAACTTCTCTAGAATGGGTTTACACCCTCCCCCCCATGACAACTCTCAGTGGTTGTTCTAAGCTTGGCAGTTAATGATTCAGAAAGATCTTACTAGCTTGGAGTCAAGGCCTAAGGGTAAAAGTAATGGAATTTAATGGGAATAAATATAAACTCATGTTTTTAGCTCCCAAGACAGTTGCACAAGAGAGGAATTTCAGGAACAACACTTAGGAGCTTGGAGGTTTTATAGATCCTGGGTCCCTCTCTGAGTGTCCCTTTATGGAGGGTTCTGGACAAACTGGGATGCATTTAATGAGCTCTGGGCAGAGAAACGATGTGAATTCTGTCTAGTCTGGATCACAATCCGGGGCTGTTCCTGTCATACCTGAATGGGTGTGTGGGGATTGGATTTGCTCCCAGAAGGGATGGATAGACTTTTAAGGGATGGATAGTTGGAAGTTAACCGGGATGTGGGTGTTAGCCTCCTAGACAGAAGGATTAAAGCATGCCGGTACGAGGGAAATGGTGCTGGGGAGGTAGCGGGTTCCTTGCCGCTGGTCATGTTCCAGCATAGACCGTAGGACCAACTGATGGGAGAGGAAGCAGGCATGTTAAGCATAGGGTCAGGGGTTGCTGGTGTGTTCTGGCGTGGGGTCCGAGGATCTTCCTTCCATGGGAATGTTCGTACGCAAATAGAGATCCCACCGTTCCTCAGCTGGCCTTCACTACCCAGGACTGTGTCCCTCTGCTGTCGTGGTTGCATGCTTGGCACATCATTGTTCGTCCTACAGTGTGGCTCCCCGCAGTGAGTTCATACTGCTGAGAGCCTCCCAGAGCTCAGGGACAGGCCTGGGCTTCCATGGGGGCCATTTGTTTTGTTTTGTTCTGTATTTGGGTCAGGTAGAGAGGCAGAAGGTAGATTACCCACTGCCTCAAAGCGTTTGCTCATCCTCTCATATTTTCTCCAAGAAACTGCTTTGGAGGCGGAACAGACTGTAGGGTAGAATGGTACAGTTCAGCTTGAATTTTTAGGAGGCTCCTAAATCCGTCCCCCCCCGCCCCCCCAACCCCCCCAGTAATAATTTGAGAATTGAAAAGACCCACACTGGAGGCTTGGTGGAGTTCATGGGCAGGTCAATCACAAAACCCTTTCTTGTGGCATAATTGATACCTCTCAACGTTTGGCAGTTTGTAGAGTCCTGTGTTAATGTACATGTGTTGGTAAGGAGTAGTAAATATTTTGCTGACAAGTTCTTTGAATGATGGATCCGTGGCAACATTTAAAAGGCAGACAACCCGAAGGTTCCTTTTATCCAGGTGCTGCTAGATCCAAAAAGCTGTCAGGGTACGAAGCCAAAAGCACCCACTAGTTACACCATTAATTGTGTAATGTTCTCGGCCCCCGAGTTTCCGCAGTTTCCGCAGCTGGGATCCGTTGATAGACACAGCTGGGGGAGGGAGGTGGGAGGGAGGCCGTTGGGAGACAGAAGGAGAGAAGACGGGTTGCTTGCTCTCCGGTGACTGTTCTGGAGCCGAGAGAAGTCCCTGGTGCCCGGCGGGGCCTCTGGCGTCTGCTTCCCTCCCTCCTACCCACCTCTGTTGTAATGTTGTGTGGACTTGAGGCGGGGAAGCAGGCTAGGATGGTGGTTACACTACACTCTCCCACTCAAGCCCGGACCCTCCCCATCTTCGATCCATCCCCAGGAGCATTTCTTCTCCCTTTTTGGGGAAGCCTTTGAATTAGTGACCTGATGCTTTTTCAACAAAGGAATATTGATATGTTAGTGTGCAGACTGCAGGGGGTACTGGATTAGATCAGTTTCATGTTGGTGTTTGTGCTGGTGTTTGTGCCGGTTTGACATTTGTTGGGAAAGCTTATCCCATTATGGCCATAGGTTACATGCATAATTTAAGGGGAATAAATCTTTGAGAAAAATTTCTCTCGGTTCTGTAATCTTCAGGGCTACAGAGAAAGAAATGAAAGACTCCCTACGGTTTTCATGTGATCAGAAATTCCAAGTTAGGCTCCCGGACGGAGTGCCCCGTGTAGGCGTAGAACATTTCTGCCGGTGCACCGGCCACTTGTCGTCGGTTGCCTGGAAGGCAGAAATGGGGGCAACTGGGTCCCAGCTTCAAGGTTACAGTCTAGAAGTGGAGAGTGGCCAAGTGAAGTGCGCGTGTAGAAGAGGACCCCTGTTGCGGAATGCTGTCCACTAGCAGGTACAGGGCCCCTGGTGTCGCCGGTTCAGTGGAACGAGTATTTGTGACAACAGAAGAATCCCGTCCTTCCCGCAGCCTGCCGCCATCTTGCATTTCGGTGATCTCATCGACAAATATTGGACCATTTGACGTTTTCAAGTTACTGTGCCCATTGCCATGGCGAGGCAGACATCTTTTGTTTTGCTTCCTTTTCTTTGAAACAACTGGTTTTGCCGTGGACATGGGATTATCCTTGCACAAAGTGCTCCTGATAGCTTGTAGGCATCTGGTCAGCATTTCTGCGGGATTCACAGTGAACTTGCAACTCCAGGGGGGCCCCATTCTCACGCCTGTGGAGATGATCCAGTTTCTGCCTGCCGTTGCATTTCTGTATGCGTGGTTGATGCGGTACGTGAAGAACAAAAGCCACTTGGCTCCCCAAATCCTGTATTCTCCTCTAGGAACTCTTGTCCAAGCAAAGCTGGAGCCGGAAGAGTAGGTACTGGAACGAGGAAGAGTGGTGTTGTTGGTCATTACCTCCTCCTTACCCTATCTTTTCATTTCTATCTTAGGTTTATTTTCTTGAAAAGGCTCCAGGCTTCGGCTTGGAAAATCCAACCGCCAAAATTGAGCCCAGCAGCTGGAGCGGCAGTGAGAGCCCTGCCGAAAACATGGAAAGAATGAGCGACTCTGCGGATAAGCCAATCGACAATGACGCAGAAGGGGTCTGGAGCCCCGACATCGAGCAGAGCTTTCAGGAAGCCTTGGCTATCTACCCACCCTGTGGGAGGAGGAAAATCATCTTATCAGATGAAGGCAAGATGTATGGTAAGCAGTCCGCAATGTTCCTTTGCGATGCTATGATGTGCTTTTGTGATAAGGAATGGTGGCAGTTAGCCTTCTCCTGAGATCCATTCATTGTATTGGGTGGAATGCTCTTTGTAGAATTTCAGTTGGCCACCCAAGGGACTGAATCTCAACTAACCGGAAGAGTCAACAAAGGACCATCGGGAAATCATTCTCTGAGGTTTTCTTCTTCTACATATCAACAGCATGACAGCAAAGCTCTCAGGGTCCAGGTAGGGATTTAGTTGCAGTGGCATATGCGGACCCATTCTTCAGAGTACATGCCCCATCTCAGTAGCTCCTGGTCACCGGTGCCATGTGGAATTGGGGCCTGTGTTGACAAATCTCTTCATTTTCTCCTCACTCCCAGGAAGAGCTAGCAATACAGATATTTGTATATGAAATCACTCATTTTTAAAAGCCAGCACTTTTGCTTTTTAAATACAGCCCTATGTTGGCCAGATGAGATGCGTGCATAGCTTGATCAGACCTCCAGACTCCCATTTTACTGCCTCGTTGCCTGTCTGTAGTCGAGGGGCCAGCCAAGTGGTTCACCCCCAGGCGCTCTCACCAGCCTCCCCTTCTATGAGGGCATGCCTGGCAGAGTGCTTTGGAGGGAACTTTGGGAGTGCCCCAGAAGATAGGACTGGTCAGCTGAATGGCTCAGGGTGCCCATAAGCAAGTAGCAGTCACCGGCCTGGCGCCTGTGTCCTGGGTTTGAATGTTCCCCGCTCCTCCCCTGAACGCTTCCAGCTGCAGACCTGTACTATTCTGGCTGCCGCCTCTGGGGAGCAGATGGCAGCTGGTTGCTCGTACGTTCTGCTTGTCTAATGGGGCACGTTGAGCCGACAGAGTTTGCCCCGTAGCTGAGTCTAAAGAGATGCAAACAAATAACCAAAACTCAAAGAGGACAGGCTCAGCAACCTTCCCCAGGTTGTTAACTTATCCTGAAAGTGATTTATCTCTAAATAATTTGGAAAGCTTTTCCGTAATCAGGTGTTGTACCTTTAACACCGTGCCTCCTCTCTCCGGGGCTGGAGCGGGGCTGCTGCTCAGCTAGCACACACAGCCCAGGAGCGAGGAGTGAGCAGATGGTGGTACAGCTGCTCCCAGCTGTGTCCCCCTCCCCGCCCCCCCTTTTCCAGTGTGGATGACGTAATGGAAACAAGGGAAATGCTGCTTTCCATGGCATTGAGTCTGCAGCCTGTGAGTGTCACACACTTGCGGGGGAGAGAGCCCTGGCCTTCGTTTGTTTTAGGCTCCTGTGTGATCATCTGGAGCCAGAGAAGCTTCTTGTGTCCGTGGGTGACATGGACTCAGGGTGACCATGTCTGCTCCTATGGGCAGAAAGTTACAGGGCCTCTGGTCGTGTGTGTGTGTGTGTGTGTGTGTGTGTGTGTGTGTGTGTGTGTCTCTCTCTTTGTTGGGCTGCCCTTCCCCAGCCTGGTTATTAGCCTGCGAGGTCTTAACCTTTTTATCTAAAGAGGCACCCGTGCCCTCGCCACTGCCACAGGTGCCCCCCCCCCATTTTAAGGGCAGAGGAAAATACTTTAATTTCTGAGCCTTCTTTGGGGCCGACTTCACTCCTGCTTTCGAAGCTGGCTTAAGGCCGCTCTACCTGGTACAGCTCCCATTTGTTTGCCCAGCAGTTGTGGTCTAAAATACCAGGCTGGGGGCGCCTGTGTGGCTCAGTGGGTTAAAGCCTCTGCCTTCAGCTCAGGTCATGATCTCAGGGTCCTGGGATCGAGCCCCACATCGGGCTCTCTGCTCAGCAGGGAGCCTGCTTCCCCCTCTCTCTCTGCCTGCTTCTCTGCCTACTTGTGATCTCTGTCAAATAAGTAAATAAATAAATATAAAAAAAAAAGAAAACTTTAAATTAAAAAAAAAAAAAAAAATAAAATAAAATAAAATAAAATACCGGCCTGTGTCGGACACCCCTGTCAGGGGTAACTCCTGCCCCTCGTTTCTCACGTCAGGAATCCTGGCAAGGCACTTTCACTGGAGGAAGGAGGTTTCGCGCTGAGAATGGGATTCAGAGCAAAAGTTAATTTTTGTCGACTCCTGCTTGGTTTTCTTCTTTGTTGATTTCCACAGCCGTGGTGGGCTTAGCCCATCTGCCTGTAACATCCCAGAAGTAGCTTTTTTTGTGGAAATAAGTGTGTAAGGGCTCTTGTTGGTCATTGGGTGTCAGGGACACTAGGCTAAATATGGGAAGATCACTGAGAAGCTCGGGATTTGAGCCCTTTACCCACGGTGAACCGTCTTACCCTTGGCCTGCATCTCCTTTTTCTCCCCTGAAGAGTCAGGTAGTTAACGTCCATGGGTCCTCGGGACCCGTGTGTTTTGGGATGCTGGGATTTTTGTGACTTGTACCTCAACAAGAGTGATGAGTGTGTTGACTGATGCAGTGCTGGCTGTGGGACCATGTCTTGAATGCCCCTGGCAGTCCGGTTCTGAGTGCTTCCTGAGAGCACTTGTTCTTAATAGATGAATTCTTTTTCTCCCTAAATCAGCATTCCATTGACTTAGGGTGTTAATGACCAACCTGATTGTAAATGGGGTGGTCTTCAGAGCAAGCAGTGTTAGGAGTTACAGCTGCAGGGTCATGGGTCCAGATTGGGGGTGTGGGTGTGCAGTAAATGGATTTGCTGTAGGGCCCTTGAGGCCGTGCCATCTCCAAGCAGCTGCCTTGGGGAGGAATGCTGCCCTCAGCATTGGCCCCCATGGAGTCCTGTCTCATTGACCCCCATGGAGGAGTTGTGCTGCTTCTGCTGATTCAGAAGGGAGACATGGTGTTTCCAGGGATTCGGGAGCTGAAGACTAGGCCCTTGGGAGGACTGCCCAGATGCTGGGAGCTGCTGATGACCTGTCTGTGACCGTGGTGGTGGGGGGAGAAGTTTGCCTTGGGAGCCCCCATGGGGAAACCCCCGCTTCTTGGGGCCTGAGTCAGTGAGCAGTGTGGAGTGAGAGCTTCTGTTCCCTGGCTTCTGGCCGGCTCCCCAGCTTGCCATCCAGGAACCAGGACGCAAACCAGACCAGGAGCTGGTTTCCTGAGGTCCGACGAGCATACTTTTTCTTCTCAGCATTTTGAAAGTGAAAACACGGAAAGCATTTTAGATTCTGGAGGGTAAAATCAAAATAATTTAATGCCTTTTAGTGAAATCCCAAGCATTTTTGACTGAAGGGGGGTTAGTTCGGGGTTTCCGATATTTCTGAGCATTTTGTAGAGTGCGTTGTGATGTCACGAATCCTGAGCCAGTTGAGAAGCAAGGTCCGGTGCAGCGCTGATTTATTTTGGTAATGACGTTTTCTCCGTGCTTGGCGGTAGGGCAGATGCAGTCCTATAGAGAGGAAGAAATGGGAAGCTGTCTTTATGAGGAGGTCTGGGCCATTGGAAGAGAGGCTTAACTCTCTCTCTGCTCCTTGGGTGCATGGGGACACTTAGCCTTGATGTTGTTGGCCTCTGTGTGGACAGACTGCTTCTGCCCGGGGCCCTTCTGTGTGGGCAGCTGTCCTGAGGGATAGTTAGGAGAGTGAGTGAGACTTCTCTGTTCCTGAGGGTGTGCAAGCTCACGCTCTCTCTCTCTCTCTCTCTCTCTGTGCTTTCCTTTCCTTTTTCCTATTTTTACATAGCTGTGTGTCTTTTTCTGATAGGTAGTTGGAGACGAGATAGCAGGAGGACAGGAGGGGAGAAAAGTTTTTGATCAGCAAACTTGCTGGAGATTGAATTTCATAGGAAGAGGTCATTAGTTTAAAACAAAAGCCATGAACCGCGGGGATACCCAGATGCATTTTTCTCTTGTAGCTGAAAATTCTGGTCTGGCAGTGTGGTCAGGTATCGCCCACAATCACACCAGGGCAGGGATAAGAGCAAATATTCCCTGAACAGTGACTTTAGAGACAGAAAAATGTAGCACTTAAAATTTGGGGCTTTAGAATTGCTAGGAGGCGTGCCCCTACCACTTCTAGATTCCAGACTTGGGGCAAGTTGCTTTTCGTCCTCGTGCCTCTGTTTCCCACCACTGCAAGAAGGATTTAAGTAGATCCTACTTCTTGGGATTGTTGAAGAGTTAAATAAACTCACTGTGCTCTGGAATTCCTCCTACCACGTTTGGACAGCGTCGGGCTTCGGGTGTGAGCTGTGAAAAGAGTTTCTGAACTGGAAGCAGAAAGTGCTCTTGGCCATGACCTGGGCTACAGGCTTTACCTAGGATTTCCGTCCACTTCTCCCAACAACTTTGTTTTTTTCCCCCAACAACATTTTGAGGCGAGTATTCTCACCCCCGCTGTGTAGATGAGGATGCCCATGAGCTCAGAGTATAAATGGAGGAGCTGGAAGGGTTCAGATCCAGGTCAGTCTGGCCCTCTAACCTGGGCTCTTTCCACAGGCCTTCCTCCCTTTTTTCCCTGGTGGAGGTCATTCTATGTTAATGGTGAATCAGTATTGAGCACCACCTGTATTCCAGCCCATTGCTAGGGGCTGTAGGGGATACACCCATGAACCAGACAGACACAGTCCCTGCCCTCATGGAGCCGTCGTAAGTTCATTTGCAGGAAGCTCTGACCTCAGGTCAGGGCTGTGTGCCAGAGCTTTCTGGGAAGTCTGAGGGCCCTTTGAAGATGGTCACCTTCCACTTAGCCTTTTGAAGCCTGTTCTTGGCCACCAGTGTCCAGGGCACCTGGCCCAATGCTGGCAGGAAGAAAGCTTCTCAAATAACACAGCAGGGAGGATCCTAGATCACAAGGCTGGCCCTGATGGTGGCCAGGAAGCTGTCTGGAAGATTCTGGTGCCTCGGGATCCTACAGGTCGCCTGGTCAGAGCAGTTGCTGAGCAGTGGTTTTCTCCTTTTATGAGCAAATGTCTTCAAGGTCCTTGCCTGGGGACAGCTCCAAGGATGGCCCCTTTCTTGCCGGGATGCTAGGCCTACTGTTTAGCCCTGGAGAGAAGGGCTATGATGACTGAATAAATTTGGGTGGGGGAG